CACCCTGTCCATGATCTCGATCAGGTTCTCGTACGAGCGACGGGGATCATCATAATGTTGTGACCATCTTCGGAATGTAAATGCTGGAAACTAGAAAATAATTGATTAGCGAAATATTAGGGAGAATGTTTGGGAGAATTTAGCGAGAAATTTGGGAGAGCTGTAGCCAACTAGGCGAGAAATTAGCAAGCAAATAGCAAGCAATTAGCGAGCAAATAGCGAGCAATTAGCGAGCAAATAGCAAGCAATTAGCGAGCAATTAGCGAGCAAGTTGCGGGTGATTTGAGAGAGATTTGAAATAACTTTGAGAGGTTAGTTGTCGAAGTAAGTGAGTTACGTAGGCCTATAGGCTTTCATATGGCATGCAGAGATCGGTTATGCTTCCTGGCTTCCGTGGCTTTCCTGAACCCACGCCTCTAAGCCTCAAAGACTCTAACAACTCAGCACCAAAACCAAGGCCCTCAACCCCTAGACCCGAGCCCTAGACCTTATCAATCTAAACCCTTAGGGCCTTAGGGCCTTAGTCAGGGCATAGTTACGCATAGTTCAGGGTGGTACGACAAAGCTGTAAGAAGCCTGTGCCTCCAGCACGGATCCATCGTTTTCCTTTGCACAGCTTCACGAGGGTATTCACTCCTATGTAGGAATGTAGGAAAGGCGTCACAGCCACTCCAGCTGTAGGGCGTGCAAGCTCAAGCTCCTGGCTCCTATAAGGCTTAGAGTTGTTAGGGCGAGTTGCGGGACTCAGTAGTGAATTAACTTTGATGAGTCTTTGAGGACTATACATGTTGGGGATAAAGGGTTGAGAAGGATGCTCAGGGTCTTGAGTCTGCAAGAATGGGATGGAGGTCGCTCTTCCCCGTGCAGCCTTTAGTGAGGTTCCACCTCACCAGGTACGCACAGATTCGTGAGATTTCATGACAGCTGTTTATAAGTGGATACTGCACATGTTTGCCATGCCCCAACGGGCTCAACCCAGCTGATGCGCGCGCAGGGACAGGTTTACTGAACTGCAGTGTTCCCCGAAGCACTAAGTTCACTCTTATGGACTCAGACTGCGCTCAGACTAAGCCCGATTACAGCTGATGACAGCCCCTGCCCGTCACTGCATGGCGATAAGTGCTTGCTGATACAACAGAGGGTGGATGTCTTCCTTGACAACTCCGTACTTGCTGCTGCCTGTCCTCAGAGGACACACTTGCCCGGAAATGAGGCCTTTGGCCTTCTGCACGGCCTGAAGATCACTTGCCCGCTCCTGAATGCTCTTCAAGGACACTGACAGCACGATCTCCGTAAAGATCGCCCCACCAGCTCTCACCAACTTGTTGGCTTCGATGCACTCCTCACCGAGGGCCCGGAACTCATCATTATCCTTCATCAAGTCACAAGCTGCCTTGCTCACGTGCTCCACGAAAGCTTGGGCATCACTGACCCCCTGAGCTCAAGCACGCAACTGAAAACGTATTTTTACGGCCACCCAGCCCCTAAACCCTAAACCCTAAACCCTAAACCCTAAACCCTAAACCCTAAACCCTAAACCCTAAACCCTAAACTTACTTCGACTTAGACTGGACGCTTCCGATCTACACTAGTTCCCTAGGTGTCCCTAAACTGCGGATCCGTGGAACCTAGCTGGGACACGCACCTCCAGGAGTTCTTCCAACTTGGTCTTCAAACCAGCAGACTGCACCTCAGGCTTCAGAACCTTCTCGTATGTTCCGAGCACCTGAGCCAAGTCAGCATCGCCTGGCAAAGTCTCCTTCCAAGACTTGCGGCTGGCGAAGCCCTTGGCCGCGTCGTCGAGGGATGCCACCAAGCCTCGCATGTCGTTGCTCTTCCCTGCCGCTACAAAGCTCATGGCATCGCTGAGAACCTCAGAACTCAGAATGGAGCGCTCGCCTGCAACGAAGTGCTTGAAGTTGACACACTTCGCGGCTTGCTCAGGGGAGCTGCGGACAGCTGCCAAGTCGCTCAGGTCGATGTCAGGCAGCTCATCCTCCGGCCCAAGTGCCTTCTCCAAGGCGTCGAGGGTCTGGCGAACCTTCCCGAGGCTTTCCAGCGCGGCGAAGAAGGAAGCGTGCTTGGCATCATTCTTAGCGCGCTGCTCCGCATCTTTGCCACGCGCGGCATACAGCCGCTCTGATAGGCGATAGTTGGACACCGCAGACACGAACTCGAACATGGACCCGATTGTCTTGCCCGAAGCATGCCCGGCTAGCATCGCAAATGCCCGTGCCACGTTGGCCGAGTGCGGCGCTTGTCGAATGGTCTCATCCAGGTGGGCATTCGCCTGCAAATCACGTTCAGGAGTACACTCCTAGCAAACCTTAGCCTTTGCCGCAACCTCAAACAATGAGCAATGACCCACGAATTCAAAAGCAACTGTAACTAAACTAAACAACCAAGCCTCAAGACTTACCCAACAACATACCCAACAACACACGCTCCGAGAGATTCCACAATCTCGTTTAACAACTTGAGGGCCAGGGGCATGGAGAACGAAAGCTCGGTCTTTTTTTACAGAAGGGCTCAACGGCTCCACACACGCAAACGCAGAGAGACATGACTGCACTGACAAACAAGTACTGATATATCAATTTAGCC